CACACACACACACACACACACACACACACACACACACACACTAAGGCTCTGTGTTTTATCTTCTGTCCATTTTATTAATCCTCTCTGCGTTTGGACGCCAGCCTGCACAAACTTTAACAATCAGGCTTTCGCTGCACTTAAACAAAAGCTTTTCAGTAAAATCCAGTTTATACAGAAGAGCCACCAGCAAGTATGCAAGCAGCTGTGCGCTGTAAAAACACGGGAGGGAGAAGACACACAAACCTGCATGTACAACAGCAGCAGTTCAGCAAAGTCAGGGCCTCTCTGTTAGCTCAACAAAACCTTTGGAGGTTTTTTCCCAACAAAGTCCAACTGAACGCTGCCTAGACTGTATATAAAAGATGGGCATGTGGCTAGCTGTAGTGAGGTGCAGAAGTCCCATAAACCTGCATTGTTGCTGATGACCACCAGGGGGCGACTCCTGTGTTTGCATGTAGACTGTGGGAGAAACAAAAATCAATCAGTCAATCATGAGTGTATTTCACTTTTCATGCAGGTGGTGACTGCAGCTCAAAGTGCTTCATAGATGACTGAGAAGCAAAATCATAAAACTGTAATAAAACAAAGCAAACAGCATATGTTGAAAAGCAATTTACAGTCATTTAAGCTGCTTTCAGCTCCTGAAGATTCTCAAGGGTCACCCTGGTGGCTCCCTCCATATTTGATTTGACAGATTTTCCTAAACAGACAAATTATTAAATAATTAAAATGAGATTCAAATTAACCTAAAAGTCCAAAAACAGCAGGTCAAATAAATGATGTCAAGAAAATGTCGCCACCACAGCACATTACCTCCCCGCAGCATTTAGCTACCCTACTTCTTACATTATGCCACAACAAGCAATACAAGTGTGAGGTTACACACTGACACAAATCTTTATTCTAAAGAAGACACACACACACACACACACACACACACACACACACACACACACACACACACACGCTTTCTTTTACTGTTTGACTCTGGACAGCTGTTCTGCTGTAGAACTGGAGGCCACAGCGCTGCAGGTCTGATGCTCATCGCTGCTTTGGTTACATGCTGAAGGCTCTCGCTGCTCAGTGTTAACATCACACGTCTTCGCTTTGTGTCGGCCTGCTGTCTCTGAAGACGCTTTCTAAGAGTCGGTGTCCTGTTTGCAATTTGTCTTCTTGTCCTCTTGAACAATAGAAATCAGAGTTCATATCTCCGCTCCTCTGAAACAGCAGACCACGCCTTCATTTCCCCCCTCGGAAACTGAAGTCAGCTGATTGTAGTGTGAGTGCAGGAATAAATATGGGTTCATCTTTGGTCAAACTTCCACGTCCTGCAGAAGAAAGAACATAAAGACATAACTGTTTGCTTAGTAACTGTATCCAATACAGTTATACGTAACAGTAACTGTTACTTTGTAACACTTTACACAGAGTACTGGTTACATCATAAAAAATACGAAACTGTAGACGAGGAAAAGAAATTCAAGTAAAATAAGTCATATGTATAAAGGAAGCTTGTGAAGAGGCAGATTTGAAACACTTTCCTCGTGAGCTTATGGTCTCGGTCACTAGTATAAAGTCTCACTGAATAAAACATGATGTTCATTTTCAGCTGATGTTTTACGGCAGAGCTACTAAGTGACTGACGAGTCACGAGCGCATGAGTGCGCGTAAGTGCAGTGCAACAGTCTGAAAAACCTCTGTTATATCATCTTTTCCACTACTTAAAGCTGCTATCATTATGAATATTGCCCATTTATTTATGATGAAATAGGAGCTATTCTTTTTTATTGTTCTTTTATGCGAATGGTATGACTGATTGTGTCTGTTTGTCAGCACCAAGTTCAGCCGTGCTTCTTCTCTGCAAGCTCGTGATTACGACAACAATGAATTTCATCTTATAAATCCAAAGATGCCGATGAGAGAAACGCTCGCTCGAGGGTCAGAACCCCGACTCTGATGCCTGCATCTGCAGCTCTGTGTTGCCCTGTGGTCGGTGTTCTTCTGTCTCCATCTTCACATTTCCACCTGTGTCTCACCTGCTCCTCCGTCTTTGTTGCTTTGGTTTTTATGTCTTCAGGTTTGTCCCTGGTGCTTTTATAGAGCTCATCTTTATTTTTTCACGTCTTCTTTAGTTCCTATTTTGAATAAGTTAAAAAAAAAAACAACACGCTGGTGGTGCAAATAAAGTAAGAGAGAAATGATGCAGAAACTCTTCACATTTGTGAGTCAGTATTTTTCAGTGCACTTTTTCATAGCTGCACATTAGAGTCACAAAAATGCGTTACACTGTTCTTAAAATATCATCTGGGAAAAAAACAGTTAAAAATGCATCAGCTCGGAGCTGATTGAACGAAGCAGATCAGGTGTGCACAACAGGTTACTATAGCGATCTACCTGGGTTAAAAAAGAGGCGCCTTTGTGACACTGAAGACTTTGCCTCGGGCAGGAAGTCAGCAGGAGGACAGGAGGTTACGTGACAGTTTTAGGAATGGAAGGGTGAGCAGACAGGTAATTAACGGCCATCAAACACTTGAGTTTTCGCCACTTAATGAGCACGACTGTGTTGAAAACACTCCAGATGTGTTTTAAGCCTGTGTGGAACAATTCCTCTGTACCCCGAGGAATTCTGCTAAAACAGTCGATGACAACAAGTGTTTTTGTATTAAATGAAGGAGGTGGAGGTACGGCAGTGAACATGCAGGCGTCGTGACTGAGTTTCTTTGCAATGTTTACAGTTTATTTTATGAAATAATGCTTTTATTTTGTTGGTGTTGGATCTCTTTGGTCACTGTGACGTGGTATTTTAGGTAAAACCTCCTTCTCATCTTCAGACCTTCTCACCTTCTTCTACTGCAGAATCCAGCCACAGAGAGCAAAGTCGGAGAACTGTACTGAAATGACCTTGAACCTGCCCGGCTGATGAATATCAGGG